GACCCACACAACCCTGAAAAGGAAGAAGCGTGTACAGAAAATGGATGGATGGATGGATGTTTTTTTCTTTTATTTTGAAAAGATAAAACCAAAGAACTGGCCAGCTTGAATAACCAGAGGGAGCTTAAACACGGACTGGTCTGTGTGTCTGTTTCATGGAGCTGTCTTCTCTGAGAGAGGCATAAAGGTGGGCTTCACTATTAAAACTATAGATTCTCAGCCATCCAGAAACTACAGTAAGTTGTCATTTTTTTTAAAACTTTCTCAGTTCAAGCTTAAAAGAGTTCCTTCCTTTATGCCAAATGAACTCACACACAAAGCTCTCTCCCTCCCCTCCCTCCTCAGGGTTGTTRGAGTGCTGGTTGGTTTGGTCTGCATGTCAACAAACAAACAAAGATGACTTTCTTCTTGCAAAACTTGGTGGTTTCGGAGAATTGTGAAAGAAACCAAAAAAAGGCGGGACTTCAATTTTTGAAGAGTATATTGAAGTTTTGCAGTTTATGAAAATATAACGGCTCACAACAAATATTCTGAATGACTGTATTAATATATAAACTTAGCACAAAAAGTAAGGACATTTGTGTCTTCTTGACAGTATATCTTGTACCTYTGAAGAGCCTGTTAATTTTGCTTTTAAATGGTGCCACATTTGTAAGGAACACGCATTTGTGGGCTGAGCAGTAGAGTGGGTTGTGCACTTAAATTTTTTGCCAAATCTCCTTTGCCAAACAATTTATTTTGATGTTATTATTGATTCTTGTTCTGAGCTTCTGGTACCTGCAGGTGCTGCTRTAAGATTTATTGTCAAGCAGCGTGGTTACAATAAAGAATCAACCAAACACTAATTTCCTTACTTTTTTGTGCTAAGTTTATATAAACTGAACTAAATAAAACCATACAGTAAAAACTAGGATGCTTTCGCAGCATCCAGTCAGCCGATGACTTCCCCGGGTGGATCAGTAAACAGGATTAAATCAACCGACAGACAGAAGCATCCAAAGGTTTTCTGTTGTTATTTCCTCACTTTGGGCTTCGCTCTGAAACAGATTTGTTTCACATCTGTGAGAAAACATTTTGTTGGACAACATAAGCCGGGAGGAACACAGAAACAGAGCTAAACCGCTTCTTTGCAAGTTTTTCTAAACATTTTGCGTTCCTGATGCAGAAAAGTTTATGTGGAAATTTTAAATTAGGTTTTAGGCATTTTATTGTTTTTATTTCTTGTTTTTAATTTTCTGCTTTTATTTCTTCTGTATTTTTATTCTTATCTTAATTTTGATTGAGTTTGTTCTTGTATGAGCTGCGATTGAATGTTGATTCTGTACAGCCCTTTAGTCTACTGTGGTGCAAAAACTGCTTTACAAATAAAGTTGGATTGGAAAAGTTGCAATCATGTGTTTGAATAGATGTGTAAAAATAAACTTTTACAGTTACAAAAATTTAAACCTTTTTTTAAAATTCATAGTTTTGTTTCCCTTTTATTAAATATAAATTAAATTACAAACATATATTTAAAATTAACGTCTGCCTTACAGCAGAATTAACTTGTTTAGCTTAATGCATTTCTTTTGAAAAGCCAAGTTTTATTTCTTTGGTCAAATAACACTGACGTCTTAAGGATTTTTAGAAATAATAATATTATTGCTGTTTTTACTTAATGTCCTGTAGTCTTGTGATCATTCAGACTCTGACCTGCAGGCCAATAGGATGGTAGTAAAAAAAAAAGAAGATATTTCACAAATTCAGCAAAACTTTAATTTTACACTGTTCAGCCTCTCGGTATAAAAAGTGCACACTCAGCTCTGCAGGTGTTTTCTAGCTTTGTCACCCTCAGATTTTTCTGTAACCGAACACTAGTGTTTACTTTTATTTATGTGTTCACTACTTTTACTTTAACACAACTTATTTTATTTATTAATTATTTAATTTATNCACTAGTGTTTACTTTTATTTATGTGTTCACTACTTTTACTTTAACACAACTTATTTTATTTATTAATTATTTAATTTATTTTATTCTGAAGATGAACAAACAGCTGGTTAAGTTGTTGATATTTGCTTGATGTCACACAGCACCAGGATGAAGCACATTCTGAGACAATAAATGCAAGTTTTAAAAATAAAAACTTTGCAAAATGACATTACTTTAACGTGAGTTGGGAAAGGTAAAAACCAAACTACCAGAATAATTCATGCAGCTTTACTCCACAGCAGTGGTCCTGGAGGTCTATCCTGCATATTTTACTTGTTTCTGACACCTGATTTAGATAAATGAGTTCCAAACCAGACCCCTGCAGAACCTGCTGACGAGCAGGGAACAACTAAAACATGCAGGATGGAGGAGCAGCGCAGACAATGTTTAGCTAGGTGTTAGCGTTAGCTCCACCTCACGTTTTAGCTGTAACTCCTGCACTTTATAAAAACTTGTAGCTCTTATGGAGCAGAAAATAAATGTTGTGGAACAAATACGTTATTGAGAACTTTGTGTTTAATTTCTAATTTTGTCCAACAAACGCAGCAGAGAGCTGTTCTTAAACGTCGGCATCGGATCAAATAAATAAGAGCAACAATGTTCATTAGGCTAATTTCATCCAACKTTACATACAYTAACCTCACACTTTTGTAACAATTAATGCAAAATAATAGTTGTTTRTAGTCATTTTTAAATGTAATTWATACTGAAAATCCTTTCAAGACCCGACCTTGATGTTTCAGGACCCACAGTGGGGCCCCAACCCCAACTTTGGGAACAACCAGATTTCTGAATTTTAGTAATTAATACGCAAATATATAAAGACTCAAAGGTCCTATCCAAAAAAGAAAAAAATAGTATGAATTTACCAAACATGACCACATTTTGTTCCCTAATATATTCAAAATGTTAGAAAGTTAAACATGTTTCATGCGTGACACACAGTGAAGATGCAACACAACCTGCCGTCTTCCTCAGACAACTTTTACTATCTGGCATTTTATCACATAGGCTAATGTGAAGGTTTTTGTACAGCACATTGAGACGTATTGCTTTACTGTGACTCAGTAATACATAAATAAACTGAAATACACTGCAGTACATGTGATTTCTCTGTAACAGATTCAAATGTTGCCAAAAGTAACTTTATAATTGAAGTGAACCTCACCGAGGTATTACTTAYTGGAAACCAGTCAGATTAAATTAAGTCTGATTTGACCTGTTCTTAGTGTAGATTACATCTGGAAGTTTAAGACGTGAGGAATTATTACTGATGTTTGTGCTGTTTTTAATTTTTTTTTAATTCTTGTGAAAATGGGGAACTGTGGTGCTTGTAAAGTGAATTCTTAGAGTTTTTTTGTTATTTACAGGATAAAGCACCAGAACCAAACATGATTTCTGCTGACTCATTAACAAACCTTGATTTAAGAGTCAAATTAAAAGCACCAGATCTGCTCTTTACGAGCCATTTTATTATCTAGTAATCTGAAGCGGTWTTGTATGAATGCAGGTAGTTCAGAGTAAATTTCAATATGATTTTATTATTTATTAACAAAATTGAAATGTTTGCCTCATTCTTTATTTGCATTTATTTACTTATCTGTTTGCGTTGCTTCAGTTTTTTGTGTTAATTCCAGACATTTCTTTTGTCGAGACATTTCAAAATATGTTTTGCACAAAAGGAACTGAGAGAAAATTTCCCCAAAGTTGTGGTTTCAGACGGTTGGACCTTCAGCGCTCTGAATCATTCTTATTTTGCCTGCTTACAAAGATTCGTTGTCGTGATAAATCTCTGTTTCAATGTTTCTGCCTCACAAGACTTTCTGCGGAGCTTTTACAACCATTCAAAATGAAACAGTGCATGTTAACTTTTTTTTTCAAGTTTGGATCAAATGTTTATGAAAAAAATAAAGATATAATTTTCCACTTGGAAAAACAATCCCTTTGTTTTGTTTCATGAATAACAACAAAAAAAAAAGGTGTTTTTACCTGTTTTCCTCTGCAGAGAGCAGAAACAGACGAGAGCCATGAGGAACAGCGGCGCCACCACAGCCAGGCTGATTATAACATGCAGGGACGGTTTGCTGGGAGAACCATGGTTTTTTCCTTAATGT